TGGTTACAAATCGACCTATTTAGACCGTGAATACGTGGCTGCCAATATTCGAACCATTGCCCAGCAACGCATCCAAAGTCTCTTTCACTCAATAATGAAAGCTGAAGATCGCATTGTTGAAAGCAGAACAGATGCGATTACGCTTCAAGATGTATTCATTAACCAAAAGGAGCTGATCCCAATTTCAGGATTACAAAAGCTGTTATCTGTTACAGAAACTGTTAGCTGACACCTTCGTACAGGTCACACTTGTGCCTGACGATTCCTGGCCCGTTTAAACTAATTTCTAGATCATTTTAATTAGACTCCACAACACTCTGGTTTAATAATGAGTCACGGTTAGGTTGACAAAGTAATTGTCAACAATTATTGGCATGGAGAAGGCTTAAAACTAGCAATCCTGCCAATAACATTTGCGAAATGCACACAGAGACTGTAGTTTGATGGTCTGAGAAAGACTGCTATCGGCAGCTTTACTGACATTCGCATCTTCTGTTGATACATTACGGAGTAGTACTTCAGTTATCGATGCATCAACATCCTTTGTTGAATATATTCGCCAATTTCTTGCGGCCGTAGGTCCTGATACCATTTTTGAGGATAATTACACGCAAATTCCCGTGATACGCACTTTCGGCTAGTATTTAGTCTCGGAAACACTACTTCGCAAGGAATAAGCATTGAAATCATTCGATTTGAATTCCAACATGTATGTATTAAACGTAAGTGCAAGACATTTCATTTCTTTTCATAACTTTTCCAGAAATCTTAATGGGGTAAGAATAAAACTGCTCCGTGAATGGACGGAAATACCCAAAATCGCCATAGATTATTTTATTCTTAGCATAAACTGAAGCTGACAGGCATGCGTTTCCAACAGAAGTCATCTCATTTTGCGCTGACAGATCTTCACCAAAGAATATTTTTCTAATCAAAATTCATATGGTTTTGTTTACAACTGCTTTTTTTAATTATTTATGTATTACTTTTTTAACTTCTCCACTCCGGCTTCTTTGTTACATCCAATGATCTGCGAAAGTTTTAAAAAATTCGGATAAATATTATTTTTAATCTTATATCTTCAATCTTATATCTTGTTTAACATTTGCACATGAGCGTAGTTTAAAGCTCTGCACTTCAGAATTAATGTGAAAAAAATAATTTTATATTTACAAAAGCTTCCTGCCCTCACAGCCGAAAGTAATTTCATAAAGCTATTTATTTTATTTGGAAATGAAACTGGAAGTACGCATACTAAAGTCCAATACTTAGGAAAATAAAATCGATATCCATATTTTTCGAGGACTCTGTACAACATTACTTTCTTTATTCTTTAATATGACCTAACGAATTACCAAAGGTAGTATTTGACAATCATGGCAGTTTTTAATAGATGTTTTTGTCCTCCTGCCTTTTTCCCTTTTTAACCTATTTCCTCTTGGTTTTTGTCACAATAATTCTTCCAGATTAAACGTTTATGTAAATATTAGTTATGCGAGATGCACTAAAACTGCAGCTTTTTGGCTATTTACACGTGACTCGCAGACTTGTAGCTTTTTCTCTAGGTGTATGTAGAAACACTTCTATGAATCTAACTGAACTATTAGAGCTGCGAAGGGAAAAATATGGATATCGGCTTAGGTCAGTCGTTTTACAGTTAATCATATCTTCGTGCTTTGTGTTGCACATTGTTTCAAGTTCAACCGAAAGTTAAATAAACTTTTAGTTATTATTATTTTAGTTATGTAAGGTTTTGAACTGACAATAATTTGCCTTGGCCCTTATGTAGTCTGAAAGAAGAGAATGTACATTAAGAGCTATATGCTCTGTTTTGTTTTTACTGCAGTAAGTGTGTATGTTTCCAATGACTGTTATTTTGTTTAAATTTTATTTCTTTACTTATTCATACATTCATTTATTTTTCGTTTCTTTGTCATTTAATTGCGCAATAAAAATATTCGTTCCATAAAAATGTTCGTTCGCAATGTTTTCCCCAAGTCATTGCTATAGTTATTGATCAGAAGACTTCGTTACATAAAGTGTTTATCTTTTTTTTTCTTCCTTATACAAAGAAAAGGAAGCATTGTAATCGCGAAGATTTTCGGGTGTCATATTTCAACAGAAATATACATTTTGACCGTTCTCGAATCGTTTTGCATATTTTTTTTTCGTGAGGTATATAAAGGACTTTTTATTCCAAAACGGATTGTAAAATGGATTTAAACTGGATTCAAAAGGGAGTTTTTTCCGTGACGTAGTACTCTGTATGTGTTTCGTCTCTAGTACGTGTGTATGTATTTCGAATAGCTCAAAAACGATTAGCCGTAGAATGTTGAAATTTTGTATATGGGGCTGCTAGTATAACATCTAGTTGTGCACCTCATTTTTCATTGCAATTGGCAGTACCAAATGCATATATATATATATATATTCCTTACCTTGAATTTATTTTCGTAATCGTTGGGTCATAGTCATATATTGCCAATTACAGAAGTGTTTTAAATGATGAAAAAAAATTTATGTTTTGGCAATGCCAAACAGTTTTTAGAAATAATTAAAATTAATTTTAGAAAAATAAGAAATCTAACTTTTAATGTGGTGTCTGGGTTCCTATTTTTATATTGGGGAAAGTTTTAAAACCGTTATCAAAACATAAAATTATAAGACATTTTACTTCCTTACCACAAAAATTGACCTGGATATTTAATTTCAAAAGTTGCAGTTTTAGATGTCATTTTAAACTTGCTTGCGAGATAGGTTAAAAGTTAGAATAATTTGAGGAAATAAGTTTAAATGAAGTGCAGCAAAATATGTGTATAGTTCGATAGTTCCGACAAGGACGTCATATGGTGTCCAGATCAGATTTTTAGATACATTGGAATGCTTTTGCTCATTAACTATTATACGAAACTCTTTATGTTTGCGCTGATCAATCTTTATTTTTATATGCAAAATTAACATTTTATGTAATGCTTCCTAAAATCATTTTTCCTTCGATATTAATAACTCTCTTCTTTAATAAATGAACGCCATTTCTGTGATAATAAAAACTGCTTCAGAATCACGTTTACAATGAAGTGACTCTTTATGTTTCTTTTTTTTTTAATCTATTTTTTTATCTAACTGAATTCGCTCTCAAAGTAAACTTTCCAACGAAATAGAATTTGCTCTTATTTTTTAATTTTAATTCTTCATTCTTTTTCAATTAACATTTTTCGAACATTTTTTTTAAATTCGATCCTCTTGTTATGTTGTAGGGTTCCTCATTCTTTTTGTCTAAAGTAACAACTAAAACATAGACTCGAGAAGACTTAAAATACCCTTTATTTCACTCAAAATATGATGAACAATTGGCCCCTTTCTCGAGCTTGCAACAAAGCCTCCACTTGGGCTTAAAATCAGAATAAGAAATAAGAACTAAATTATAACTAAATAAAAGAGACTTAGGCGAAGCTAACACGAGTAGCTAACATAGTTGGTCCTTAATTTAAATTAGCCGGCGAATATCAAAAGATAGGTAATAAACGGCCGAGCGTAACAGGTTCAGGAGAGATTTGGCCCGAGGGCAAACTCGCACTACTTAGGATTCCTAGCTCTTTCTCACGAAGTAAGTTAAACTTTCTTTAAATACTATTTCTAACGCATTTGCAATCAACTCCAATCTAAAAACTCTCTCGCTCTCGTAGGAAGTTGTAAGTGGAAAAAGAATTGACAGGATAGTGACTTTTAAATTAAAATAACTGTTATAAAATTAAAATATACCTTACACTGATTCGAAACTAAGACTTGAACACAAAGACGAGAAATGTAATTCGATCCTTAGTGGCTTAAATATTTTCACCTCCCAGTAAGACAAACCGCCAATAATATAAGTGCTTGAGTAGTTGCATTTTTTATATGTGTTTTATGTGATTTATTTGTTTGTTTGTGCTTTACGTTTAATAAGTGTTGATGCCTATATAATTTCTGTTCAAATGTCACGATAGAAATCTGTCCTCCGAAACACCAAATATTATTGAATGAACAACCCTTATTTGGAAATGTTTTATAGACTCTTTCAGAACTTTTCGGAGAGAGGCAACATGAGAAATTCAGCAATGCCCTAACCGGGATTCGAACTCCGGATCTTACGATTGGCTAGCCAGGTGTGCTTTCCAGTTTTACATGAAGGCACCTGGTAAGGAATGAGAAAATATTTTACAGTCTTCCCCACTTAAAGGGAGACTGAGGAGGAAGGGAGCTATTCTCCAAGTACTTGCGGTGACGAATTATCGTCCACCTCCTTTTAGTTCGAGCCTCACTTTAGAACCAGATTTAAGTAGCCAGGCAGTATTTAAAAAGAACTGCTGATGAAGCGTTTTGTGGACTCAAGGGAGAGCTCTATAGATAAGAAGTGGGCGCGGAACAATACATGCTAGCCCTAAAATTCTTGGGCTATAAGAATTCAAGTAAAAACTAAAGAATTAAGGTATTAATACTGCTAAAATTTTAACATCCGACAGTCATCTATTTTACACTTTAAACCTAAGCAATTCCACCTGAATTTAATGTTTCTAAATCACTTAATTTAAATTTTAGTTCTAGAAATTAAATTGCTTAATACTATCATTTAAATTTTATACGCAACAATGCAGATATTATTATATAAAGTCCAGAAAAAAGTAAGCGTTGAAATATTCTACAAACTAAACCTGAAATCTAATATTATCAGTAATTACAGCTATGTCTCAAACTGTAAATATGTAATTGTAACAATGTCGACTATTATTCATCTGAAAGGATAATTTTTTGAGAAGGTACGTGCATGATTTTTTAAACCATTAATGAAACTGCAATTAGATATAATAAGTACTTTTAAATTTATGTACGCATTAAGATCCTCAATGACATCCTTTTAGAGAACTTCCTATTCAACTGTATTCCTTACAATATTTGTTTCCAATGTATTCGATGAATATCACAGTGATTGTGTATCATCACATACTTGCTTTGTTTTATAGCATGGAAAATGTGATGGGCTCTTTCTACAGTAAAGAAGATCTCCCTCAGTACTGCTTTTCATTGTATTCTCTGTGGGGTAAACCGAACAAAAAGAGAGAAGTCATTCCAAAGGGAGCAAGTAAAATCTCTAAATATAATCTCTAAATAATATTTTAATAATAAACTGAATGTTATTTTCGGGTAATAATTTTATTACAAGAGTTACGGTTCATAAGCTACTACAGATATACTACTTTGCCATATTAAAGTACTTTCCTTACTTTGCAGTGATTGTTTTATAATGCAATGAAATCTGACAGCGAAGAGATTATGTGTCCCAAGAAATATTTCTAAAAGAACAGCGGCTAGATATAATAACATGAAGTATTTTTATTTCTTTCATTACGCGTTACTTTGCTACTGTTACTCATATTATTTTCCTTTCTTAGACATAATAATTTCATCGTTGTCATAATATGCAATTCAGAATATTATTTCCAACAGTGTGTAATTTAAAAACTCTATGTGTTGCTGAAACCATGTAATCACTTAAAGCGCTAATGATGATATTATAAGTATTTTTACATCAAATACTTTGCATACATATAAAAGTGACATATTTCTTATTTGAAATGATTTGAAAACGTTTGAATTACCAATGAATCAAAAACGAAATTTGGCATGATGTTATGAGGACTAGAATCATGGATCAGTAAGTGCATTCCAGTCAAGCAGATAACTAGAAAATAATATCTGAAAGTTTCGTGGTGCAGAAGTAGATTCTTACACAAAGACACCCAAGGCGTTGATTCAATCCTTGAGGAAGGCCTATATCATTAGAGAATGATCCTTACACGTATAAGAAACGAAAAACGATGTGTACAGATGAAATGGCATCTCGGTATAGTCTGCTTTGAACTACGTCCAGCTGGATATACGGTTTGTGTGGAAGCGAAAATGTTTGTTTGGTATATAACATTTTTTCTGAGTACGAGTTTTGATGAGTCACACGATTGTGCGAACTACATTACGACTATGCTACGACCGCCTATGAGCATCAGTACGCCTATTGTTACTATTCATTAAACAGCTTGTCGTATAAGTCTGAATTTTCAAGCGATTTTGTATTTTTAGCGTAAATCTTGTTGCGGATTCATTAAAGACTGTGGAAACCAAACACGCTATTAAATCTGCTAACGTTGGGAAGGAGGTGAAGTTGATTACCAAACAAAAATCAGACGTTAAATCAAGACGTATAAGAGACATTAGAGCACTTTGAAAAATTACTTTTTACCTGGAGAAAAACATTTATGTATTGAATCATATGCAGTATATATTTCACCCACTGCATTTGTATTTCAATATTAAACAGTGTTATGATAATAACAATCAGATTTTTTTATAAGGACGAATTAATTATTTTCCCTTTATTTCTAACTGGAAAAATTACTTTGATATATGTCCAAGGATGCGAAACGAATTAAGGACGTATACCGTGGTACCACTGTATATGCATAAGGCTGGATATTAAATTTCTTACTATGTAAGGAAACACGCAACAAACCTAAAACCTGAATTATTTCAACAATAAATCTAGGGTTTTAATCTAAATGCTTGCATATTCATAGTTCGGTTCAAAACTGAAATATAAACGTGAGTGTTTGCATCTTACTTCCAAGCCTTCTTTTTATATGCATATTCTGTGTGCTAATAGGACAGCAGGTATATCTTTCCAGCATCGACAATTTTAATTTGGCTCACTTACTTTTGTTTAATTTTTAATCGGCAGTTATGGAGGAAATACTATTACCAAAGTTACCCTTTAATTTTGTGTACGAGTATGGTTAATGGGGGCTGAACAATTATTACAAATAATCCTAAATATTAAAATCATCCAGGAACTATCAAACGTGCTAAAACTACAGCTAGGAAGCACATGCTCAAGTGCGAAGTAATTGTAAAAGTCGTTAGGTTCTTGAATAGATTTTTCATATAAATGCAAGTTTGCTTTCTTTTATACAACAGCTCTATTTAAGAAATATCTTTTAGAAATCTTTTAAAGTTATGAAAACCTGTTTGCACTACTGACATCCAGTAGTTTAAAATATATACATCCAAGAAAGAAAGCTAAATTTCGTGGCTATTATAAGACTCCAGACTAATATAAATACTGCTGCATAGATAAATACGAAACATAGTCTCGTATAAAGGATAATAAAAAATTGTAGAGATTACATTTGATTCTCCATAACGTTTTAACTGCGCATAAACATTTAGAGATGCTTTTAGAATTGTAGTTTAGTCTACATCGTTTTGGCCATGATTTTATAGAATGTGATACTATTTCTTTAATTTCTTCACCTCTCCATCTCTTCTCGAGCGCACGAACGGCAGAACGGTATAAAGTCGATGAACACTGGTAGCTCGGTCGTGGTTTGAATACCTCCGAACGGAGGCTGCACAGGCGTTTTCATTTCCCCCCTCCATGTGTAACATTTATACAAGTCAGTTTGTAAAGACATTAAGTTATTTTGATACTGGAGAAGTAAAAAATGAGCAATGCCCTCGTCGGGACTCGAACCACGGACCTCTCGAATACGCGTCGAGCGTGCTGACCACTACACCATGTATTGATGCTAAGAAGGCGGGAGAAATATCTTATAAGTTTACCTAAAATGTCCTCCACGAAGGCATCACTTTCCTTGGGCAGGTAACTCGAAAGTGCTTTTGCATAATTAAATAAAAATCAAACCACCTCTTCTCAAACAACTTTTTAAAGACTTTTAAAATCTGATATCCATTTCAGGGAAATCCATTCCATATTTGCAGACCTGTGTAAGATTAGCCAATTTGAGTTGAAATTATTCTTCTTATTGTATTGTGTATTGTTAATTTAATTGCTCTACATAATTAACCTTATATTTTTCAGCCATGAAATTTTCTATTTTCTTAAATGCGTCTCGTAATAACGATACAGATATAATTGATCCGCAATATTTCTTGCCAACCAATCCTTCGATACAAATGGCTGTTCATTCACCTTATTTCTTACCCAGTCCTTATATACAAGGCAGCAATTATTTAGCAGGACAAGCATATGAACTGACTATTACCATGGTAAAACTTTTTCTACGTTCGAAAATAGTTTTTACTTTAAACGGTCTTTACTTTTTTGAGCATGAATAATTCTTCTTACAGAATGAAAGGCATCTCTTACCATTGCCTTATAAGACAAATTGTACGGATTACATGAAGACGTGGAGAGAACGGGGAGGAAAAGCACCCATAAATCAATTGGTAAATTTGAATTTTTGCATCTTTTGGAAAAAGTAAATATTGTATTTAAAGGATTTTGAAATAAATAATTGTCTGAATTTTTTAAATAATTTTCTACGAAATAGTTGCATAAAAATACTGAATAGTTATTCATCGATGTTTTTCCGTTAGTGGTATTGTTTTTCAGAGTTTTCGATAAGATCAAGTCCATTTTGCCATCAAAGGGATGAAGATGATGCATGCACAATCTCTTCGCTCCCTTTTTCGAAGAGCAATTTTAAGAAATCTAGTTATGTATTCTAGTTTTAATTGTAAAGGCGCGTAACTGTTTATTTAATAGGCGTGGACAAATAAAGTTTTCTTAAAATTTACGAGTAAATCAACGTTTGCTTGCAATCAGAGTGATAACTTACTGACGTCAAAGAAGTAACATTGCATTAAGTACTGTTAGGTTAAGCATAGTTTGAGAAAGTTTTAAGTATCAGAGTTAAATATATTCATGTAAAAAATTAAGAGAATTCAAAATTATGTCTAGTTTTACAAAAAGTATTGAAACAACGGTAGTAATTATGTCGCCGAAGAATTATGCAAATATTCAGAGCCAAATACGTAAGCTTACACGTATGTCTCTAAGGAACTATTATTAAGGAGGGGATATAAGCGCATGAACTGTTTTCGATTTGTGTGCTCATATTTCTTCCTGACATTCGCCGTGTTTCTTGCTACAGTTAGGTAAATTGTATAAGGTGATGTGATGTGGGGGCGCAGCCCGATTCTTCTGGTAGACTTTACGTCGCGCTGTTGTTCTTTACATTGGCTGCGCCAGAGCAAACCAGAAACATCAGCAGTCAACAAAAATGTAACAAAAGAGAAACCATAAAATACAACCGGAAGGTATTACCATCTCTAGTTTTTATACTTCACGCACTTATAAAGAAAAGGAGAAAACAAAAAAAAAAAAAACAAAAAAAAAAAAAAATGGCTGACAGATGATGGAATGAAGTGGAAAATTTTCGGTGGACTGGAGGCAAGTCAATCATCAGCTCTTGCTATAAAGCTCAGTGTAACGCTCAGTGTCGTTTGCAATTTATGACAACAGTTTCAGGGCACTGGATCCGTATCGGGAAGTTCGACAAGCATTCACAACGACGAATGAGAATTTTTTGGGGCACTTTCAGCGTGGCGACACAGGAATGCTTCTGCTTCAAAGTTTTATGCTGTCACTGGAAATCGAGTTTCACTGGCCTGCAGTTGCTCGAAGGTTTCACTAGATATGGCTGTATGCCAGAGTACCCTTTGCTTGCATCTCGCTTACTACAGCATACAAGAGAGCGCGTTTAGAATGCTGTATACAACTTGCGTTTTGGATCAGACTTAAGTGAATCACCTTGCTTTTAAGTCATTGATTCTCTGCCTATCTGTATCTGGAGAGATCCAGGAGCACGATACCATCCATCCCTCCTCAGAGGAAAGGATCATTACGGTGGTGAAGGTGTAATGATTTTGTCAGGCGTTATGCTGGACGGCTGGGAGATCTTAGAGCCCTATGTTCGAGTTTTCAGGGGCAGTTTGTCCCAGGTTTATGTTATGTTAATGGACGACAACGCTCATCCAGGGCTTAACTGGTCGACGATTACCTGAAAAGTGAAAATATTTGCTGCATGAATTGGGCAGCCAGATCTCCTGACCTTAACATTTAGAGCATGTCTGACGCTCTTTGAGGGCTATGTTACCTTGCCATTCCGTTCCAAGAAGCATCCCTGTTCCAAGAAGTTGAAAACTGCCTTTATGCAGGAGTTTCTAAAATACGAAATTCAATGTTATTGTGTATATTCTTACATTAAGCCTATTTTATGATTATAAAGACTAAACTAAATTCCAACTCTTGATTCCTTGTGAATAATGCAAAGCTATCGATATGTTTCAATGTTAGTTCAGTGGTTAGTTCAGAGGTTCAGTGGTCTATGCGGTTTCTTAGTTTTACCGGTTTGCCAGTATTGGCAGTACGTTTTATACGTTGAGGTTAGGTTTAGGTTTAGGTTCAGTCGGTTAGAGGAATGGAGAATTCGGCAAATCAAAGCAGGAGTCGAAAGCTTCGTAAGTATTGAAGAAGCACAGGTAAGAGTGGGCAACACACGATATCGCACTGTCTTATTGAAACGTGAGACGAAGACGGTCATATGGTATAACCACTAGAATTAATGTTCAAAAAATGTTACATTGGCTGATAAAAGTACTGCTCATGAGGATTAGAGATTAATGGGACATGTAACCAATGAAAAATCACAATTTTTAGTCCAGTGTTTGGCCGCTATGACGACGGTAAATGCAAGCTTTTCAGAGTTCGGTCCTCTTGGTGCTTCCCATTGGCGGAAACAGCCATTATGATGCTACAAGCAAAAGCATAATTTGCCAAAAAAGACGGCATCACGCCATTAAGACATCCACGTATGTGGGATGTGTTCCTGTCGACGACGTTACTCAGATAAAACGACTATAAACGACGGTAATCAGATATAAGTTTAGAAAATGAAAGCATTTGAACATAAAGGAAAAATGAAGCGCATGTAGCATATATAGAAATTGGATAAACCTTTTAAGTAGGACTCAAAGATGAATGTATTATCAGTGGAACCGTTTTGGACATAGGGCATTGATATTGATATTTAAAATGGAATTTATTTCTTCTAATAAAGTACTTTATGATGAGTTTTAAATTAATCAAAATTATCACATGCTTTTGGTTTTATAAGAAGAAAAACTGTCCAGAAAAGGAAACGAGACTTAATCTGGTTATTTCTTTATTCAGGGAATTGTGCAAGAATGTCGAATGAAGGAGATGTATGCACGCAAAGGATGTGTTCCTGTCACCGTGGATTATCCTCATTCATATAATATCTGTCGATCATGTAATCCTTGTGAAGGTAAGATATACATATGAACAGGAAACAAAAGTGAACTTGCGGCTGGTTTCTTAAGCATAAATTTAAATTTCTGAAAATATAGCTTATACTTTATAACATCTTTCATTCAACAGCTGTTTGAAAAATGAAGGGAAGAATTACGCATTGTTGATACTCCACAAAGTTTGGTAGTCGTGAAGTAAAACTTATCATTATTAAAACAATAACTGAAATTATGTTGCTGCTTTTAAGCTGCCCTTAAAAATGCTCTGAGACTATCAAATGATTTGATACACTTTTAAAGTTACTTAACTATTTTAAACTTGAATTTGTTAATGGACGCATTTAAAAAATAAGCAGAACGAATAATTTTGAATTAGCATTGGCTAAAAAATTAAAAATTTTAGTAAATAGTGGGTTAAAAATAATACTTTCTCTTAGTCATCACTTAAAGTTTGTTCTGTCTTCAGTATTTAAGGTATTCAAAATTTTTAAGAGGAATTAGGACCTAAGATATAATAAAAAGCATTGAAATAAACGATCGAATTATTATTATTATTTATAGATTTAGTAATTAGTAAGAAATTAGTAAGATTAGTATTAATAAGAGATTACTATTAGAGATCCATTATTAGTACGAGAATAATATCATGCGTAATCAATAACTTCATTGACCACATTTAGTGAGAGTGAAATACATTACACTCTTGAGCATCATTATTAACTATATGTACAAAATTCACTAACTGATCAAGCACATCCTTTCATAATTGTTGTCAACACCTTTTGTCGACTCTATCTTTTCTGCGTATTAACTCATTTTGAAACCTTCTCGTGAGCTTATATTATGTATTGTAGATAATAAGAAAATTATTTACAATTTCAACGATTACGTACTGGTAATAAAATGACAGATTATTTTGAATTGATCGAATAGTGGGTACATTATAGTAGTTGACCACTTATAAGTGTATTAAACTAAAATAATCTATTCTTTATTTTCCCAGATAACATAGCCACAGACAATTGCACGATGCTTGCAGACAATTTCAATCAACCATGCGAGTAAGTTGCATATTTCTTTTAAAATTACTTCCTCTTTCATAGATTTGCACAGATTGCTTTCATAACAATTAATTTAACTAAAAGAAAGTATTCAAAATGCACAAGCATGCACAATTGAGAGTCAAATAAGTAAATTTCTACATATACTAATACTTCAAAGAGTTCCATTTAAATAGTACTAGTAATATACTCATTCCCCCTTCTTGAATCGTTAGGTTATATTGATGCAAGAATTTGAAAAATCCTCCCTGGGATTCAAACTCCGTATGTACCGAATACGCGTCGAGCGTGATTAAAGCTACATCATGAAAGCTTGCGGAAAGGAGAGAGAAAATACTTTATACCAGTGGTTCTAAATCTTTTGACTAACACGTAACATCTAAACAAAAATTGAAAAACTTTAGTACTACCACTACATTTTACAATGATTATTTTTCAATTTCTCACCAGAAATATTAAAATATATATATTTTTTGCCATTTGCGCAAGCTATTGGCTATTTGTATTAAAGATGCACATGTAAAAATATATTAGATTAAAAATTGGTTACTATTTTGATATTTCAAAATATAAGTTATAATACTTTAATTCTAAAATTTAGTGCGAATTAAGGCATGTTTAAGAGAGATACATTTCTTTATGTCTGATTTTATTTCACTTAGTTTCAACCGTAAATTAGGATCCACTTTCAGTTTTGTTCTCCATTTGTTTTTTAAGTATAACATGGAAGAAAATCCTTGTTCACAAAAATAGGTTGTGCAAAAAGGCAATAAACGTTTAATGTCTTTATTTGAAATGCCTTTAAATTCTTTTTTTCGGTTCAGTCAAAAGTTAACAGACGTGTTATTTTCGGAATCTTCAGTAAGATTTCGATCACAGGAAATTTCTATCAATAGTTCTTTTCCTTCACGAGATAAAATTTCAAGTACATTTTAACAAAATGGCTTTCTAATCCAATTTTCCTTTTCATAATCCTCGGGAAAATATATGTTGAAATTGTTTATCGAAGAAAAACTATGATTTTTCAATGGATACTAATTCTTCTTTTATTTTCAAATTTATTTCGGTTAGGAAACTTTCTAAAAGTGGTGAAAAATTTTAAATATTATTATCCAATTCTTTGATTATTGGCTAGAGTTCTTTTGTCATTGTATTTGTTTTATCTCTAATGGTGAACAAATTAACACTTTGTTCGAGTAATCCTAAATTTAATTCATTTAACGTTCCAAAAGTATCAGCTAAATATGTTAAACGCGCTAAGCATAATTCACTGAATAAACATTTCTTCCAATTCAAATTTTGAATCACGGTAGAAAATTTGAATTTCTGATCGAAGTTCAAAAAGACAATTTAAATTTTTCCTCTGGATAACCCCTTTCTTCGGAATGTATGAAAAGCGTTTCATGCCCATCTCTTGAAAAAAAAATCGTAAATATTCTTCAATTTAAAGCTCGGGTTTTTAATAAAATTAACAATTTTCACAGCTTGATTAAAAACGATTTTCATGTTTTCAGGCATTGTTTTGGCTGCTATAGTTTCACGATGAATGGAGCAGTGAGTAAATTTAGTTTCAGGTTCCACATTTTTTATTTGAGAAATAACACCGGAATGTTTTCCTGATAAAGCCGAGCTCCGTCACTGCATACGTCAATGCACTTATTCTAAAGAATATCATTCTCAACCATAAAATTGTCAATAACTTTGAAAATATCATTTGCAGTTGCTCTATCATGAACAAATTCACAAAATTAATACTACACACAAAATATATTCGTTTATCTTCTTCGAAACGTATGTAAACAAATAATTGAACAAAGTTAGTTATATCAGTACTTTCATCCAATTGCAATGCAAAATACTCACTGTGTTTTATAATTTGAATAAGTGTCTCTTTTATGAAATTTGCCATTTCATGAATTCGTCGCAGAAGAAAGTAAATTATAATCACTTTGTCGCTGAGAACACTATTGTGAACACTTGAGCTGTGTGCTAAACACAGATTGGGCAGAACACTGTTGCAAATACTTATACACTTGAACACAGAGCACTTTCATAAACACTTGGGCTGTGTGCTAAACACTGATTGCCCGGAACACTTTTGCTAACACTTGCACAGTATATTATCACAGTATGACATTTGTACACTTTAACACTTCGGCACTATATTAGTGTTGCATTATGCACTACACATTATTCTTGGTGATCGTGCACATAGTTACACTATTTAAGCAATTATTACACAGTTACACTATTAAGCAATTTACACTATTTAAGCAATTAATTACACTATTTAAAAGTCCAAAAGCGGAAGGGATCTAGAATTTTCATAGGGATATCCCCATAGGGTGCTGGCAGCATTAAAATCTCCACCTAATATAACATTTCCAATTGGGTTTTCCTTTAGATAATTCGTGTAATAATGCATCTATGTCCTTACTAGGCGTAAAATAAGCTGAAATAATTAGCAATTTTCCTTCAAGGGTATCAATCAGAATCGAAAGTGCTCAGTTTCTTTCCACAAAAGTGGTGACAAAGGTCCATTGTACACGATTGCAGCCAGATGGTTTAAGGAAAGAAATGTTTTGTTAGAAGATAAAGAGCCAATTAGTAAATTTTTGGACGTAATATCCGGCTCCTGATAAAGACCCACTGTACACCCCAGTTCAAGCTGTATTTGATGAATGTTGCTCGTTGCCGCTATAGATTACATTGTATTCAACTAAGTTCTACTTAAAGGTCCTAATATCTCTATTCCCGGTTCATTTGGCTGATTTGCTGCTTCAATTTCTGTCGATAGGTCGGGCATTTTGTTGAAAATGCCGTGTGAGTGCAATCAAATGTTGTTCCCTTATGCTCGTTTGAAATTAGACAATTTACACAAGATGGTTGTTCTTGGCAATCTGTTATTGGAGCGTCGTGAGATCCAGCACACTGGGCACACTTTGGTTTATTCTGGCACCCTCGGCTAATATGACCTATCTCCTGACAATTATAGCAACGTGTTATACGCACGTAACGCCGATAGGGACAGGACGTGAAGCCAAGAAAAATCCTACCTTGATGACCCAATCTATTAAAGTAATCACGATCCAGACTAATAATCCAATTTTTCCTGGAATCAGGTCTTGAAAGAGGGGTTCTTGGTTTAATTGAGTTTTCTCTAATGGCTGGGAGATGTGAATTCAATGCTGAAATTAAATCGTCCGCAGTAAAGTCCGAAGGGACTCCAAATAATATAATCGAGTCACGGAATGGTTTTGGCTCTCGCAGTTTAACTGATCGCGATAGATCTTCTTCACTCGAAATTATCTCTTTAAGTTTTAGTAAATGTTCGCTTGTCTCACACCTAATCAGGAACTCGTTACTGCGAGTTGGACGGATTTGTTTAATTGGAATACCTAACTTAGAAGGTTTAATTGAAGAGGCCAATTTATCTTGTAGAATCTTTGGAGTAATAGATTGGTCAGTTGGAGCTAGTAAGAGTACGTGATCAGTCAATTGTTGTGGACGAGAGGCTTTTTTCTTTTTACGTTGAACTAAGGTAAAAGAAGGATCTGAATCAATTTTAGAATGATCCTCCGAAGTCTGCAGGTCTGATGATGTAACTGGTGGGACTGTAGGCTCCAGAACCGCAGCCACCTTTTGCAGAGAATCAATTTGTCCACGTTAATTTGCAATTAATTGCAATTGATCAGAAATTATATTTAAAGCAAGTTGAAAGGCGTCGAAAAGAGTTTTTTGGTCTCCCTTATTTAACCTATGTTTAGAGCTCTCTGTTCCAATAAGCTTGAACACATCTGAACTTTGGGCTAGGAAATTATGTGCGCGAGTAAGAGATGAATCACAAGGAGGGACACTTTGAGCTTCAGAAGTTACCGATGGAGGAGCTGAAGTCGAAATTTGAGCCATCAGTAACAGTAAAAATGTATATAAGTACAATGAACAATGTAAACATCAAGTATCTGAATACTTTAAGCACTACGCTTCTATTGAAAATAGCTTATCAGCATTAATACTTCCCTTACAGTAAATCGTTTACAGTCAATACAGAATCAATAAGCAGAATGAATTTAGCATAGTAATAATAAAACAGTATTCAATGGGAAAGTGATTGCTGTTATGCAGAATCGAACCAGTGGTATGAATTTTAAACAATTATTATCATTATTATTTTTTAAACTATTAAAAGAAATCAAAATTACAAAAAAGGTAATTAGAAATCAATAGTATTACAAAACCCCAGTTATGGGAGGGGAGAAAAACAAAATTTAAAAGTAAATATTTACTAGGATAAAGACTGGGACTGTCTCATATAATTGCTATGAAGGGAACCAACTTATTTTATGGAATGAAAAACATTATAAAAGAAAAAAATTATTAGATACAAAATCTTATTCAGTTAAAAAAAGAAATATACTTGATAAACAAACTGGGAGCCAAGTTAAATTATAATAATAATAAAAAAAGAATAATTAATCCACACCATTAACACTTAGAAGAAAAGAAATTTAAAAGTTATTTCCCAGGATAACCAATGCAATTAAACAATTGCTTTACTCACAGTAGAACCAAGTTGCGGAAGCACATTACGCTTTGATCATATCCAATTATCACGTGGTTGCTCCACAGGGTTCGTCTTCCTGCACATACAGTAGTTTGACGATAGAACAATTTCGGTTTTATTAAGCTGCCATTTTGAAACTCAGTGCTTACCGACACTCAAGATATTAAAATATCCACTGCTTGTTAAAAGCTAGATGCACACCAGAAATTTTTCTTCCACAGGGAACTGGACACCTCATAAACACATCATAATAAAAATTTTCATTAATTCACCTTTTAATCACACTCAAAAAAGCCAAAAAATACGGAGCTCAAACGAACGCTGCTTCACAATCAATGGACGAGTCCACTCTCCACATAAAAACTATACAGACACAGACACACCGGGTGAAGGACCTCCCACCGAGGTTCTCATTAAACGGAACCCATAAAGAGTT